TTAAACGAATCTCACCGACACTAATCAATGAGCGTCTTTTGAGAAACCGGAAAACTGTAGTGTTTCGTTAACTTGCTTCTCCCGTCCAAGTATTTCATTTATTGGTTAGGATTTAGGAATGTAAAACTTGCAGGTGGAGACCTGGAGTGCAGCCGTGACCAGGAGGGAGTCAGGATTTCACTAATTATTTACAAATTGATTTGCACATTCGCTTCAAAATGTATTCCACCAAATAATTATTTGCAATTTCGTTATTATTTCATATTTAAAGGGTGTTCCTCATTTACAAAGAAAACAAAAAGAGCTAGAACATCGTCGAAATGCTATTTCACCATTGAAAATGGAGAATAGTAATAAGATTAGTTGGCTAATTGATAAAAATGGCCAAATAAGTTTGGATCAGTAATAAAATGGTTACAAACTCTTAAAACATTATAGAAAGATCAGCTACTTAGAACAACATTATTAACAATACTATCTTATTTTGTCTTTGTATCTATATTTTCATTCAAAATGTGCAATTAGCTTACTCTAGGTAAGAGGTAGGTTTAAGAATATCTTATATTTTTTTGTTATTTTTGCAGTGAGTCGGCAAGTTCATTGGCCATTTTGGATAAAAATATGAATGGAAAGAAATAAAATTGTTGTTTTGTTCTATATATGTGGTTGAGGCTAGCATATATACCCCGGGTGTACGCTTACCTTATCGTATGTCAGTCCATATTTGTTATTTAAATATTGATTTGGCCGGAGCTTTGGGCATTATGTTATACGCTAACCTCTCAGGAGTGAAACCAAGTCTACAATTATCTAACCCAAACCATAAGATTCATTTAATCTCAAATGAAACCAATGGTTCCAATTTGTTGGAATTATCAAGTTCAAATAATGTGTGAACGTAAGCTTTTAGCGTGTACTCCTGATATACACTAGCCTTTGCCATATAACTCGAGTTGTTAGGAGAGGTTCAATGATAAATCTTATACCATACACAAACACGTCCCCTCAAATAAAACCAGTTTGTTACAAATCAATATAGCTATTTTGATCCATTATCCAAATTTAGTTTTATAAGAAAATGCGTTGAAATCTAATCATAATCATGTTAATATATATAAAGCTGAAGTTGGGTTACTGTTGCCTAACCTATTTACATTTTGATACCCCAAATTTAATTAAATCACAACTTAGTCACTATAATGTACATTTTATATTTTGATACCCCAAATTTAATTTTAATGTAAAATCATTGAACAATTATGTTTTGGTATCTAAATTGTATGAGAATTTCGTAGCTACAATTTTGTACTTTTATATATTGATCCAATGTTTAGATTTCACTTGAATCCATGAATTCAATCCACCAATCCTTTTGAACCAATCCATGAATCCAATTCACCATAACATTAAAGTATAAATTTAGTTTGTATCATACAAGATGTTGTATCACTCAACTGTAGTAGAAGATTCAACCATTTTATATTTGCTAATTACGTGAAACATTAAAAATGATAAAAAAGAGACAATTTTAAAATATTATAAGAGCGAATTTATAAACTCATTTAGTACATTGACGAGGTACTAAACAAACTTCTACTAACTACATGTAACAAAATATGCGACATCTACATAAGCAAGTGTCAATAAATTGCTACGGTGAAAATGATTGGCTGTTGTATTGATGACCAACTAAAAGAATTGGTCAAAACCTTTTCATCATCTACTTCCTCTTTGTTTCATTTTTCACTCGCCTTCCACAACCTTTTCTTTATTTCTTTCTTTGCCTTCTTAATCTAACCCTAATTAGTATTCTATTTTTATGTATTACAATCGCAAGTATGTAACGGGTCCATACACAACTGACCAACAGTCTAGAGAAATAATAATTGAACCATGAACCACTAACTTTTATAGCTCAATGTCGAGTCCAATTAAAATGAATATATATGGTTATTACTTATTAAAAATTCATCATTTTCCAGTATGAGATTTGAAGGAATGAAATTTTAAACGAGTCCCAGTTTGTATTCCTTTTGCTTCTCTCTAGAGGTTTTCTTTTTCACCCGGGTAGAATTTTCAACAATTATACATGGAATTTCAACAATTATACACATCAAATAAATAGTTTTCTATTTTTTATAAAAAAAGTAAATAATTATCATCTTAAATACATCACCATAAAAGGAATTAAGCCTCAACTATGCAAATTATAGTTGGGTACCTAAACTTAATAAATCCTTAGATTTATAACCTAAAATTAATTTTTTGGCATATAAGTCCTCAAAATACTTATGGAACATTACATTGTAGTATCTAAAATTTTGTGTATTACATCTTAGTACCTGAACTTGTGAAGTTCTACAAATAAGTCTAATTTTTGTATATGTAATTAGAACACCCTCGAATAAATGAATATCCATACGAACTCATACACATTTCGATTATGAAAGTAAACATTCATACCCTACCCAACCCCATCTACAAACTTTCAAATCCACATATACGTCACTCATACCCTACCCATAATCAATGAGTCTACTTGGGTTTAGGTAAATATCATTTATTAGCCAAAATTTTTAAATTGGATGTTGACCTACATATATCTATCCTTAGTCAATATCACATTGTCAAGTCAATATTACTAACAAAACTGCTAACAAAAAATTAATTTTAGACTAATAATACTAACAAAATACCATAACGGGCCACATAATACATTCCTATAGGCCATCTCCACCCGCGACAAGTCGCGGCATCGCCACCTAGTATACTATAAAACTTCATATATCTTTTTCGTGAAAGATTGATCATATTTCGTTTCTATATATATAAGGGAATCAGGAATCATGATTATATTAACTAGTTTTTTCCCGGGCCATCGGCCGATTAATTTTACCATTATTGACAATTCGAATTATAATTATACCATTTTTTAGTTGGTAATTTGGATCGATGTAATTTATTTTTAATCATAAAATTTATGTTTATATCATAAGATCCACTCTAAATTTATCTAAATTTTTCTTCAATATCAATTTTAACGATCAAGTGAAAAGATGAATAAAAGTCAGAAGTATCAGATTAAATACGCTTGATGACATGATATTTTCAATCTTATAATAATAATATAATCAACGCAGTTTATCTTATTATTTTTGCAATCAATAGCATCAAATATAGTTTGTCTTACTGACGTGGAAGTTTGGAAGAAAAGAAAATTTTAATCCGTGAAGTGTTAATGGTAAAGTCTTTGTTATCTATATAGATTAAATCATGTTTGTAAAATTGGACCATACCAGCGGTGCGAGCGGAAAAACTTCTTGCCAAAGTCTAAATTAATAGACGGTTTTCAATATTGGTTAAACTTAAACCACGATTTCAATATGAAGTACTCTACTAATGACTTTTCCGGAATGCTACCGTATAACTATTGAGATTAATGAAGAATAGAGATGCGGGGCTATACCATCGTTAAGATTAATGCAAAACAAAACAAAACAAAAACTTGAAAGTTTTGTATATATGCATTGTGTGCCGGTGATGCCGTCCCGTGCTCTATATATAAATCACCATCACCGCCCTCTCATCTATAACACACATTACTGATTATCTGATTCATCATCAACGGAGGAAAGAAATATTTAAGTTCTGCACAAACCCACAAAGCCCAAAAGAGAAGCCAAAAGGACAGCAAGAATGAACTCCAAAGCTGTGCTCGTTTTGGGCCTTCTTCTGGTTGCGTTGGTCCTCCCACAGTCAATGGCTGCCCGAGCAAAAATTGGTCAGTTACAATTCATTCGTTCTCTTTACACGAATCTGGTACATTAATTGTTTTATAAACTCCATATAAAAGAACATCATTCCTGTCTAAATCGCTGAAATGGCATTTAAATTACCGACACAGCAGCAGGCGGCGAATTTGGTGAAGGCGGCCAGGTGCACCCAGAGTATACTACTTCCTGCCCTAATGCAGGCGGCAGCTGCAACAGTGGGCTCTGTTGTGGTTGCGTCAAAAGATGGTACACATATTGCACTAGCTGTTGCACCTGATCCGTGTCCTCCAACGCATGTAAGTACGCATATAATACGTCGACCGTGCTTAATTATTACAATTATATATCCATGCATAATTTGCTTTGCGAAAACTATGTTTATATGGATAGAGATGCGATGAGCTGTTTTCCCTATCAGAATCGCAGACATACTCGAACATGGGATCTCATCACCACGGCCACGGGAACTTGGATCATGACCACTTTACTATTTGCTGCTATGTTTGTTTTTCATGTATTGTGTTTATCTGGGCGCGCGTCCTCTACGTAAATTGCTTTGTCGATTGTTATGCTTTACAATAATCTGATGTTTGCTAATCAGTGTCTCGTTATTTCTCAATATATATCTACCGTGTGTACTACACATATGCAATGATATGCAATGGAATAAATATTTTCTTTCTTAATTTCTTTTGGATGCTTCTGTGATGAGCCGACTAGTCATTCAGATCGGCCCATCTGCCGCCAAGCTCCTGCACCATAGCCCAATACGTGCTACTGGGTTTACGTGTAGCCCGGTCCGATCGCAGAACAAGCTTGCCCTTGTAGGAGTTTCGGTTTGTTTTAGTATTGTTAGTGAGGTTGAATAGGTCAACATGGTTGTTAGCGTTAGTGGTTAGTGGAATAAGCTTTTCCATATTTTGTGGAGAAATTTGAGTAGAAATAGCAGCACCAGTAGCGTGGAGTTAGTTCCACTAAGTAGATAGGTCTTTTTCATTGTGTATTTATGTTGAGATTGGATTCAATAAAAGTAAGCAGAAAATTAGTAGAAGAAACCCTGGTATTTCTCGCCAAGAAAGGAGAACCTGGTCCACTCCCGCCAAGAAAAGGGAGCTATCCAAATTCAACACGTATCATTTGGTATCAGAGCCGTTGATCCGGATTCCGAGCATGATGCCCTCAGGGAGACCATCAAAGGAGTAGGAACTCATCAATCAGGCAATCCAAATGCTAGATCGTGTCATCGCTACGTGCGGCATGATGATTGCGTCGTATGAAAAATACAAGCCATCAACAACACCACCACCGACGCAAGTCGAGACCCTAGCCGCCATTGAAGAGGAGGAGATCACCGTCCAACCTGTAGCAACCGCACTACCACCGCTGCAAGCTGAAGCTCAAGCAGAGTTGATAAAGGACAAGGAAGAAGACGTTGATGTCGTTGAAGTCGCACCGCCTACACCGCCGACGTTGTCCGTCCCTCCTGCCGTCTCGACGAGTGTCTCCAAATCAATCAGTATAACAATCCCAAGTAATTACAGTCAAGATCCTAACACATGGAACTAGGGTTCTTCATACCCAAGTGAGAGAAAGTTCTGCTCTAGGATGATGATCTTCACTCCTATGATGATCTCCAAGCTCGATTGATGAAACCCAGCTCCAAAATCACCTCTAGGATGTGTTCTTCTCACTTTCTCTCTCTAAAACTCTGTTTTTCGCTCAAAAACTCGATTCCCTCTCCTTTGGCTCGAAATTGGGTTAAAACCCAGAATTTCCCGACCACACGGTCGTGTGGCTTTCCAGTCTGCCCGTGTGGATGCGAAAATGGAGCGTTTCACTTAATGGGTCTTCAGGCATGCTGCACGGCCAGAGACACACGGCCTTGTGGATTTCCAGGCTGGCCGTGTGAGCTCCCTGGACTTTCCACACGACCACAAGGGGTCCCCTACACGGCCAGTGTGGCTTGCCCGTGCAAATTGGTGTCACACGGCCAAGTGACACGGCCGTGTGGAATTTTAGGCTTGCCCGTGTGGAATTTCCAGCTTTTCGTCAAATGCCCCAACTTCGTCCAATCGACCCCAGACTCGTGCCCAAACCTTCTTTCACGTACTAGGACCTGAAATATCACAAACAACAACAACCTAGCGTGAAATCGGCCTAAAACATAAGAGATGAGCATCAAACGGTACAGGAATGGTGGATAAAAACATGTGTATATATCAAGTCATCAAATTCCCCCACACTTAACTGTTTGCTTGTCCCCAAGCAAACCTGACTCAAACCAATGCAACTCTCCAGACCTCTATAGAAACATGCAACCCCGATCATCGGCAGAGGATTTTCTAGATCATTTATCAACTTACGAGGTCAACTGGTCTTCTAAGACGCCCCCTATCTCTCTCAATGCGAGCACTAGACTCAAGCCAGGATTATGAGACGTAGTGGAACTAAGACAGTCAATTCATGGATAAGGACACTCACACAATTCCACAACCAAGGACTCATTGTATCGGGTGCTCTTTCATTTCATTTCACTTGGTGGAACCCCTTCTTCTTACTATTTGTTTCTTTTTTTTCTTTGCTGGGGTTCCAACTGCAGTTTGTATGCGCGGTCTGCCCTTATTAGGTGAGCAAGAGTAATTTATGTACATCTGTCACTCGCCATAGTACCTTTTTAACTCCTATTCCTCACTTCATGTGGAGGGTCAATGAAATTAAGGGGGTCGGAAGCTCTATCTGTGCCCTTAAAAACACATCCTCGAGTAGGCAAAACGTTAACCGGGTGGAGATTTTACTTGTACTAGAGACAACTTAGCTTCACCTTGTAGGCCTACCACACCAAGGATCACTAAAATCTCTTCCGAAACCCGATTTTGTACAATGAACGGCGCCGCACACTTTGGGCTTACCCCATGTCTTAGAATTTCAAATTTTTGACATGGAGGACCAACTGCTTTTTAATTTCACACTTGAGCACCCTTTTTCGATGCACGAGTCCACAACACAACATAAGAGGAGTCATCAATACCACATGAATCAAAGGTCATAAATCCACTACTTCACAAAATCAACCGGCATAGCAGAGAGACAGATAGAAAAAATCTTATACTTCAACATCCTCCATAGTGCTACAACTACTACACTAAGTTGCATATCACCTTAAAGACTGTCAATTCAAAGCATACTGAGCAGGATTTTGAAGGGAACAATACTTGGAGCCCTCAATTCATCAAATTGGACAGTGGACTAGGCTCCAAGCACACAAACTCATCTAGCAGTAAAAAATAGATAAACACCCCTCCCCCCCCCCCCCCCCCACCCCACACACACACACACACTTAAGCACGACATTGCCCTCAATGGAGCAGAGGGAAAGATAAGGGGAAACGATGTTACCGGGAATAAGGACTGTCGGGGACTGGAAATGGGACCAGTTAGCAGGTCTAGAGTCATCAAAACACACTGGGTGATAGAAACCATAGTTCCAAGTGGACAAACCGGAAAAAAACGAAAGAAAAACAAACCTTGGTGGGGTTGCCTCCCCACAAGAACTTCTTTACCGTCTTTTAGATGGACGCCAGTAGGGTGGATACTCAGAGAGGTGTAGGAACAGGTGCCTCCAAGAGCTGATACACATCGCTCTTGAGGTATAGCTTCAGATGGTGGCCATGCACACGACGGGTGTGACCACCAGCACTCCTCAACTCGACTTGGCCATCCGGCAGGATGCAAGCAAGTAAATACTCGGATGGCCAAGGTGGTCGAGGCTCAGGAGGCGGGACCAGCTCATAGTGGTCTCCGGCTTTCTTGTGAGCAGGCTTAGCTACCTGCAGTTTCGGCCGCCACTCCTCCTTGATCTTTTTCTTTGGTGACGGAGTGGACGGGAGTGGCGGTGAAGGTATGAGAGGGGGATCCAGCAAAATGGGAAGCACAGAAGGATACACGACAGACTTGTGCTCCTAGTGAGAAACAACATGTAAAGGTGATGAAGCAGGGAGAGTATTAGCAATGGAAAATGTTATTCGCTCCTCGCCATCCCTCAAGACTAAGGGTCCCATCATGTACATCTATGAGGGCCTTGGCGGTGGCCAGGAAAGGCCTTCCTAGTATAAGGGGCACTTCTGTGTCTTCATTGATGTCCAAGACAACAAAATCCACAGGATAAAAGAATCCACAGACCTTAACCAGAAGGTCTTCCACTATGCCCCTAGGATGAACTATAGATATGTTAGCTAGTTGAATACTCATCCTAGTTGCACTTGGTTCACCTAGGCCTAGTTTCTTGAACAATTTATATGGTATCACATTAATACTAGCACCTAGATCCGCCAAGGACCTCTCTACATGCAACTTACCTATAGAGCACGTGATAGTAAAACTACCTGGGTCCTTCTGCTTCTGCGGAAGCTTGTTCGGCAGAATGGCCGAGCACTCCTCGCTGAGCTCCACAGTGGCTAGCTCGCTCAGCCTCCGCTTCTTCCAAGGAAGCTCCTTCAGGAACTTTGCGTACCTAGGCATCAGAGATAGTGCCTCCATGAAGGGCACTTGAGCAATCAGTTTCCTAAGCATGGACGAGAAATTTCTGAACTCTGCCTCCAACCTGTCTTTTTAAATCCTGGTGGGAAAATGAAGCTTAGACTTATATTCAACCACTACTGGTTGTGGCTTTGGAGCTTGAGCCTCTGGCTCTTTTTCCATCACCGGATGACCTTCTTAGCACTCTTCTGCGGTGCATCCGTAGTCACAATCCCACTTCTCAACATAATGGCGTGCAACCCCTCCTTATGATTTCTGGGATTCGACAGGGGTTGGCCAGGAAGTGTACCAGCAGGTCTGGAAGCAAGGGCATCTTCCAGGTGCCCGATCTTGGTGTCCATATCCTACAAGAGAGCCTGCTGGTTTCTCTGGCCAGTTTCATCTCCATGAATTTGCCTGCAGCCACTTCCATGAATTGCTCCAATTTATTGAACATTTGGGTACTAGTGCTTGCCAAGGTAGTCACTAGATCCCTTAGTTCTGACATGGGATCGCCTGGTGAAGGGACTATTGGAGATGCACCAGGCTGCTGGTACTGCTACTGTGGGGGCTGTTGAAAAGGCTGCCCCTGTCTGGGCTGATAAAGTGGTTGCTGTTGCTGCATCTAGCCTGAGCGAGGCTGGATTGCTGCCTATGGTTTGGAAAACTAGTTGCTGGGGCCTGGAAGCCGGGTGGCTTTGGATTGTTGTTTCCAGTCCAGGAGAAATTTGGATGCTGGCGCCATCCCTCGTTGTAGGTATTACTGTAAGGATCGTTGCGTCAGACATTGTTGATGAAGTTCACCTGCTCCTGGGGTGTACTGGACTCACGCATGGCCTAGCAGTCCTCTACGGTGTGATGGGAGCTCTCACACCACTGGCAGTGCATCACCTGCTGCTATCCTGTACCTGAAATCATCCCAGAGCGATCGATGGCTGAAACCAGTTTCGATGCCGCCTGTACCAAATCAGAGGACTGGGTGGCTACAACATTCACACCCCGCCCTGGTGCTCGTCTCGACCTCCTCGCAGTTCCCCAATCATAGCCTTGCTCTGCCATCTCTTCAAAAAGTTGATTCAGCTGTGGCGGTGTTTTGGTGAGCATATTCCCGCCGCCGACCGAGTCAATCAGCTTCTTGTCTTCCGGGAAGAGGGCATGGTATAAGGTGCCCACCTTGAAGGAGTCGGTAAAACCATGATTGGGACACTTGAGGAAAAGACTGGTGTATCTTTCCCAAGCATCCCGGATGGTCACATCTTCATCATGAGCAAAGTGGGTAATTTGCTTCTGTAGGTCCGCCGTCTTGGACGGGGGATGGTAGCGAGTGAGGAACTTGTCCGCCAGTTTGGCGAACGTGGTGATCGAGCCTGGAGGTCGAGTGTCTAGCCACTCCTTGGCCTGCCCCTCCAGAGTAAATGGAAAGTACCTCAGCTGGAGGGCATCGGTTGGAACCCCATTGATCTTGATCCCATCGATGAGCTCGTGGAATCGCCTCAGGTGCGATTGGGGGAACTCCCCCTCCTTGCCACAGAATACCACCGAACCGCGAAGCATAGTGATGACAGAGGTACTCACCTCAAAGTTGTTGGTAGCAACTTGAGGGTGTTGGATGGGAGACCTCATGTCTGCGGCGTGGGCGATCCATTACTAGCCCGTAGTTTGCTCCTCGGGAAGGACCACATCATGGTCATGTGGGTCACCCATCTCTTCCTCCTCGGCGATTTGCAACTGTGCTAGAGCTTCCAACGCAGCCAGTCGCGCCTTTAACGCCCGCTTGAAGTTCCTACAAGTCCTTGCAAGCTCTTGCTCTAACGATAGTAAATCCCCCGACTGGCTACAAGTCATGCACTACCTGCACACAATCAGCAAAAGTAACCCGTGAAGGCACACAGGTGGAAGAGAGAAAATGAAGTAAAGAAAAAGCTAGAGTAATAAACTTTCACGTTTCCCCAATGACCTAAAGGGTCCCCGACAACGGCGCCAAAAACTTGAAACGCTAAAATACAACATCAAACTGCGACCAAGTGTAATCGCAGTCCGGAAATGCAGTA